TTTGAGCTGATATTGCTTGTTTTTAATACCCAGACTGAAAGATCGTACAGACCAAAACAACCAAAAAAATTTCAGTGGCATTTATCCGATTATTTTCCACAATAAAAACAGAATTTGGCAGGACAGAATACAAAGATCAGTAAACCAGCTAGGTGTACAACTAATCTTTTTGTTGGTTATATATTTTGTGTTATAACATTTTTGAAACCCTGATATAAAAAAAACAAAGAGCTAAGAGGAAAGGAAAAAAACCTTAATACTCAAAAATGTTGGATTCATGCATTAATCATGGAAGAAAGAGAAGAACTCATGGTTTCACTTGTTGATGAACAAGTAATACCCATTTTTAGAGTTGCTCATTTTCTGAAACCAACACTACTCTCTGCCCAAAAGTTCCCATTTCTCCCTTCAAGACCCAATATTATTCAAGAACTGAGAAGTACTTGTTCAGTGAAGGTCCAGTTCAAGGGTGGTTTCAACACATGAAGGAATGGCCTACTTGGGTTGATCTGTTAAAGCCTTTATACCAAGATATATGGAAGAAAGATGGAATCTTTGAAGCTGTTATAGCTTCCACGTTCAAGATTCATAGGCACAATGATTTGATTATTGCTCTTGTTGAGAGATGGTGTTTGGAGACAAACACATTCATTTTACCTTGGGGAGAAGCAACTGTTACTTTGGAGGATATGGTAGTTTTGGGTGGTTACTCTGTTTTGGGCCACTGTGTCTTGAAACCTGTTAAGGCCAAAGATTCTGTTGCAGTTGAAAAAACTCTTTGCGAAGCTCATAAGACTGTTAGAGCAAGGAATGTTACTCACCATGCCTGGATGGAATATTTTGCAGGAAAAGGTGACCATTTGGAGCATGTTGCATTTTTGACCCTTTGGTTGTCAAGGTATGTGCTCCCTTCTAAAAGTTATCAAACTGTGGATAGAGCTCTTTTCCCTATTGCAATTTATCTTTCTCAAGGTATACCAATAGCACTTGCCCCTGCTGTTCTTTCTAGCATCTATAGGGATTTAAGGTTGCTTAAACAAATTATTATATCTTCATCTAGTTCTAGGTGTAACCAAGATGAGTCAGATCCTCTCTTTAGGGCTCCTCTTCAATTTGTTC